CATCTGTATGTTCACCCTTTCCTGAAGCAGTTGGTAACTCCAATACACTGCTTTGTCTGCACCACAACCTCTACAGTCATCAACTTCCTTCACAAAGCCAAGGAAATGCTTGCACATTCGCTGTTGGTACATGTGTTGCTTGTCTTCTGGGCATTGGTAACGACCAAACTCGGCGATAAATGGTTGTAACGAGTAGCGATCGAAACACGAATTGTAATCCAGGAAACAAATCTTGATCAACGGATCAAAACGTAGAAGATGAACCACATCAACATCATCACCTACAAAATCCACCATCACACAAGCGCATTTAGATGAGAAGGAGGAGTGCAGCTGAGAGAAAGCATGGAATGATTCTTTGTCATCCTGACGTAGTGTGTTGTATGCTATTTTCAACAGCTGCAGAATTCGATGATTCGGTTTCAGACCATCATCGTTGAACACATCAAGACCAATCTTCTTGAACAACGATAGCAGCCTGGTTGGAGTTAATCGACCACCTTGTAGAAGACCAGCTGTAATGCGTACAGCAAGTGGGACATTTCCACAATGATCCACTAACCTCTGTGCGTCTTCAATGCTCACACTACCTTCAACACATAGACCATGGAGAAGACCAACAGCACAAACCTTTGTCAGACCATCAAGACGGTGTTGTTGTAGTTTAAACTGGGCAGCGTGTAGGTCAAAGTAAACACGACTTGTCAGTAGGACATGGACATGAAGTTGTAGTCGAAGCAGTTGCTCCACAACATCTTGTAGTTGGAGATCTTTATCAGCACCAGCCTGGATAGCATCCTCGGCATTGTCTAGGATACATAACATGTGGTGTTTGCCACCATCATCATCCCTGCCATCAGTTGATTTCGTTGTCTTGCCAGTAGTTTCAGATGAAGCTGGGTTTGTTTCGAGTCGGTTTTGAATCATTGCCTGGACAGCGTCAACACCAGCTACACCGCGTAAGTCAAAGAACTCCACACGACAACCAGCATTGCGACATACATGTCCCACAGCAATGGCTACGGACGTCTTACCAAAACCAGCTGGTGCCACAAGACTCTGCACTCGTGTAGGTGATGACTTGGACTTTGTTGTGAGAATGTTGTGACTGATCTCTGTAACAATGTCATTCCTGCCAGTGAAGTGTCGGTCTTTGTCCGGTAGAGATGACTGGCTTGAAGTTGTTGATCTTGTTGAATCCTGTGTTGTAGTCAATGTTGTATTGGATGTTGCACCCGTTTTAGTTACATTGGCGGTTGTTTCAGCTGATGTTGTTTGTTTGAAGATTGGCTCACATCTATTGGACGTCCGTTGTTGGTCTGCCTGACAAGCTCCCACTGTGTGCTGCAATGGCTGCGTTTTCTGTTTGCCAACTGTTGTCATGGTGATACCTACCAAGGAAACAGAAAGTATGAATAAACCTATTGTAAGTTTTAAATCTTTTTCAAAAGGGATGTAAGACATACTTCCTTTGTTAAGCGAAACTTTGTTGCATTTTTTTACAGTTCCGTCAAAAGTATTCAATGGCTACAACACAGTTTTCAGAGGGGAGAACAGAGCAGCATACGAGAGATAGTAGTTTATAGATGCCACACAGTTTGTTTCGAAGTGGTCCAACTTCTCTCTTCATCTCAATCCGATCACAACTCATTCCCTGCATTGAGTCTGCTTCCTCGCTGACTCCCGTCTGCAGTGCTGACACACTGACAGCTCACGCTCTGTAAACATTAAAAGATGCCGAGAAAATATTTGACCGTACTTCTTTGCTTGAACTGTGAACTTGACGATTTGCACGGTGCCGCTGTCGGCAGTTTTTCTCTCCGCCGCTCTCCAGAACCCCATGGAAGGTGCCATAGCGGCACAACCAAAACTTAATGTTTTTCATCTTTGCAGTGGGGTTCTTCTGCCAGCACGCTTCCAAAGCCTGCAGAACTTCTGAGCTCCTTTTCTGGTTTCATTCACCATCGGTGACACGTCGGTCTGCAGGCTGTGGAAGAACGCCAAGTCGTCCGCGTTGAGATCGGGGTTTTGTCCACACGCCCATTGATTTTCGTTGTGTGCGGACACAAACCATCGTACTGGTACAGCAGTGGCTGGCCGGCTCCTGGTCACTTCTTCGAGCCACGCGGGTTTTCAAACTTCCATTTCCCAGACCCAACATTTCCACATGGTTGGACGCATACAGTCAGACCTCGCATAACCGCTCACATCCGATTTCCACAAAAAATCCGATAGGCGAGGGAACCGGATAATCGAACACACATACTGTATGTATGCATGGCATATGCTGTAAATCGGTAACTAACAATAATTATTTTCTTCCGGATGGCAAGGGATCTGGATAAATGAGGACCGGATAAGCGAGGTTTGACTGTACCAGCATCACTGGTTGTGTATGCTGCATCCTCGTGAAACCACCACATTTTTCTGTTGCATGCTTGTCATGCATCATGTAGAACCACTTCTCACCTCCATGTGTCACGTTTTTCAGGTCGGAGAATTTCATGGTCTGCTCATTCAATTGGGAGAGGACAAATTTCATGCGCTTTATTTTATGCTCGGTTGTCAAATCCGGCTTGATGTATCGTCGCCGTCTCCGCATCTGAAGCACCTTGCACCTAGTTCAAACAGTCACAGGTGAGACATTAGTGAGGTTTTGCATTCCGAATTTCGGTTCGGCGCTCTTCGGTCATTTGTCGAACATCAAAATGTCGAATTTTCGCATCAACGTTTGTTTTGCAAGTCGAAAATGATGTGTTTACATTTCGTGAGCCCTAGCATCAGCAACGTCCTGTCCCGTGCTCCTATTCTTGCTGATTCAAACGAACTTTGATCGCCCAAGAGCCGAGGGCCAAACCTGTCTCCTCAGTCGCCTCAGAAAAACCAATTCCATGGCCAAGTCAAATTGTATGAGTATCGCCATAGTCTTTTCAGCCACACAGATGACGGTGAGGACAATCCAGGTGAAAGAGAGTAGACAAGCAGTGGAGGAGCAATCAGAGGTAGCTGACGACGCTGATGTCGCCAAAGACGCCTGGGAATCGATGCTGTTGGCAAAACTACTGCTGTTCAACCACCTGACACCTCTTTCTACTGTGTGATTATGTTATCATTCATGGCCGTTAGTAGTGATTCCCGTTGTATCCATGCTGCTGGTTGCACTTGTGATCATCATAACTGTATTGCATGAATGCATGATCCTTCTCGTGTTTCATTGCGGTGCCACTATGGATCTATGGCCCGATACTTAGGTTATAGTGCATTGTAGACTTACTTTTCTTTGTGTAGTTTCAGTCCACACCGCAGACTGCGTGATCTGCCTGTAGCTGTGCGCAGAATCCTGACGCTGCGTGCGTGGTATTTGTTTCTTTCGCTTCCGGTGCATTCTTACTGTACGGTGTGGATCTACCCTTGTGCATATATTAGCCTGTAACCCTCTTTAGTTGCGGGGCTTTTTTCCTTTGTTCCTTGCTGGCAGAGTGTGCAATTATTTAGTTGTGTGAAAAGAGAATCTTCCAATACTCAATTTCAGAACTCGTGGATGTTCTAAACTTGTGGGGTACAGTTGAGCCCTGGGCTCGACTTGTACAAGAAACATTGGTCCTTCGAGCCGGATCTCGAGCCGGCTATTGTGATGCCTCTGAGGCGAGATAAGCCATGGAGAGTGGCAAAGAGCTACGTCGCTCAACCAGAACGAACAGGGGTTGTGAACCCAATCGATTTTCTCCGGAAGGAATGATCTCCGAACAGGAGAAACGACGGAACAGTCCGTCACCAACGCTGACAGCAGCGTCAACAACGTCTTCCAGGAAGGCAAATGCTACCAAGAGTAGCAGGACTAGTGCTAGTAGTGCCATCAAGAGAGCGAAGCTGCTTGCCGCCGAGGTAGCGGAAGCAGGGAATATCGCGGAGTTGGAAAGAGTAGCCCGCGAGAAAGAACTCGCCACGCAGAGAAAGCTCTCGGAGATGCGCTTGTCGGCACGGAGAGCTGCACTGGGTGAAGATGCGGAGGAGCGTCCCGGTGATAGCGATAGTGATACGGCTGGTACCCCTCCTGTGGAAGAGTATGAGGAACGACAGTGGGATTTGCGTCGTGATACCGGTGAGCGTGAAGTCTCTGATCTCATAGATATTTCTAGTGCTCAAGTAAGCCCACAACATCTTGGAGTCGGAGCCACCACACCCGCTCCACAACATGATAAAGCCACTGTACTAGCTCAGTCTCAGGCTGTGAGTAACAGTCATACACCCAGCCAGACAGTACAGGTACCAGATGCTTGTGATAGTCAAATGCCAAGGCAAGCACTTGTGCCAGCTGTTGACCTGCTCTCTGACTGGAATCCTTTCACTGTACCAAATGTATGTAAGAGTCCAGCCACTGCCACTGGCGTACCACCAGTACAGCCCAGGCCAGACACCCGCATCAGTACATATGAATACTGTGAGCAGACACTGTCAGCCGCTAAGTTTGCTCTAGCCGAGACTGAGAGGAAACTGCAGGCTATGAGCATGGAAATGGAATGTAAAGAGCGTGCGTACTGTGACAGGCTGGCCCTCGAAGCCTCTGCACATCACGAGCTTTGTGATACACTGCAGGCCGCAGAAGACCAAAGGTCCGATCTTACTTGCAGACTGAGCGCTGAAAAGAAAGAGTCTGCGGTCCTAAGACAGGAACTCACTGCCCGCGACAGACAGCTCGAGTTGCAGCGCCGAGCACTAGCAGACGTTCAGGCTCAGGTCGCCAGCCAAGCGAAACAACTTGACGGCGTCAGGGAGGAGCTGGCACAAGAGGCTGAAGCCCGCGGGAATGAGAGAAGAGAGCTGGAACGTGAGTTGAGTGCCCGGGAATCTGAGCTGGAAGAGCTGAAGAGTCAGCTCGGCGCATACCGCCAGGGCACACACGAGGCCGCCCTCCAACCGACCAACGTGCCAAAGCGCCCAGTACGGCCACAGCTGGAGTGGATTCAGCATCCACTGTGTCAGACTCAGTTGGAAGGACGATGACGACAGCCATGGTGCAGCTGGCCGAGGTTCTGGCCGAACGCCTACCTGTGGCAAATGCGCAGACGCAACCAGCGGAATCCCACCCGAGTGATCTCCAGAGAATGGTGGCGAGACAATCAGTTGGGAGAGACCTACCAAATTTCTCTGGAAACCCTGCTACATGGCCAATGTTCCACCATATGTACCGTGTCTCAACACAGGAGTGCGGTTTCAGCAACCATGAGAACATGGCACGCCTCCAGAAGGCGTTGAGTGGTAAAGCCAAAGAGGCAGTCATGGCCATGCTCGTTATTCCAGACAATGTGGATAGAGTCATTCGGACTCTTGAAACCCGCTTCGGACAGCCAGAACAGGTCATACAAACCATCATTGACAACGCTCAGAAGCAGAGAGCGGTGAAAGAAGAGGACTTTGAAGCACTGATCGACCTTGCCAATGCGGTAGGGAACCTCGTGGCAACGATGCAGCTGATGGAGAGCACGGGACACATAACAAACCCAGCGCTGCGACAAGAGATCGTCTCCAAACTCCCCAGCAGCCTACGACGTTTATGGGGGGAGCACATACGCACTCGGGACCAGGAAGTGACCCTCGAAACGTTAGCAGAGTGGCTGGAGGAGAGAGCGGATGCTGTGTCCCGCGTGAAGCGACCAGCTATGTTCCCGGCGGATAGTGCGAAGCGCCCCACATTCCATCGAGGCAGCACGTTCGCCGCCACCGAGAAGCAATGCGCCTTCTGCAAACGGTCCGGCCACGCCACTCGGGACTGTCGAACGTTTGCCAAGAAGAGCGTCAACGATCGCTGGAAATGGATAAGGGCCGAGAGTCGTTGCTTCACCTGCCTAGCTCATGGGCATCGATCTGGTAACTGCCCGAGCAAGAAGCCATGTGGGTTGCAAGGGTGCGACCGCTTGCACCACCATCTGCTACACCCAGCTAAACGACCGGACGACACACGCACTAGTGGCAAGAATCCAGATCAGCCCAACACAAGCTCTCAAGCTGTGGAAGGACATACGTATCTTGTCGGCAAATGCAACCGGCGCGACCGAGTCATCCTACGCACAGTCCCAGTGACGATCCGAGGCCCATCTGGTGAAGTCCGTACGTCAGCTCTCCTTGACGAGGCCTCCACGGTGACCCTTATGGATGCTGCCATTGCCAAGGAGATTGGAGCCGAAGGACCCCGTCGCCCGCTGTTTCTCACCTGGACTGATGACAGCAATCAGACAGACAAACGGTCGCAGAGTGTCCGTGTCGAAGTTGAAGGAGACGGTGGAACGTTTTCACTGGACAACGTGAGGACAGTAAGCAAGATGGACTTACCTGAGCAACAGATCGACGTACCAAAACTGAGTAGCCGCTGGCCTCACCTAGCCGACAGCCCCAAGATCGTTGGAGCCAACACGAAGCCAAGACTCTTGATAGGCCAAGACAACTGCCACCTTATTCTTCCCCGCGAGGTAATCGAAGGACCGCCGAGCGCGCCAATGATGACGAAATGCAAGCTAGGCTGGTCAGTACATGGCAATGACAGGGCAGGAGTCCCACAGATCGAACATTGCCACCTTGCAAGAACCGCTGACGATGACCTCCATCAGCTCGTCAAGGAGTCATTCAGCACGGAGTCGTTTGGTGTGAAGGTCACCTCCAACAAGACCAGCTCGAGGGAAGAAGTCCGTGCCGAGAGGCTGCTGGAGTCCACCACCAAGCGAGTTGGCACCCGTTGGGAGACAGGTCTGCTATGGCGCTCGAGTGACATCGCCCTCCCCGAGAGCTACGAAATGGCCAAATCGAGGCTGATGTCTCTGGAAAGGAAGATGGACCGAAACCCAGCCTATGCAGATCAGTACTGCTCTAAGATTGCAGAGTATGTCGCTACAGGCTATGCGAGAAAGCTGACAGAGGAAGAGCTGGACCAAGACAACGTTGGCCGCAGGTGGTACTTGCCACACTTTGGAGTAGTTAACCCCAACAAGCCAGGGAAAATTCGCCTGGTATTCGATGCAGCAGCGAAAAGCAACGGCATGAGCCTTAATGATGCTCTAGTCAGTGGACCAGATCTCCTCAATCCTCTTCCGAGTGTCCTCTTCAAGTTCCGGCAACACCGAATTGGTTTCGGCGGAGACATCCAACAGATGTTTCATCAGGTACTCATCAGGAAAGAGGATCTGCCAGCACAGAGATTCCTGTGGCGAGGGCGTGACCGTGGCCGAGAGCCAGATGTCATGCAAATGACAGCAATGACATTTGGTGCCACATGCTCGCCAGCAGCCGCTCAGTATGTGATGCGAAAGAACGCCTCGGAGTTCACCGATCGGTGGCCTGACGCCGTACGGGCCATCTGTGAGAATCACTATGTCGATGACTACTATGACTCCACCGATGATGAAGAACAAGCCAGAAACCGAGTGGACCAGGTGTCGGCCATCCACGATGCTGGTGGGTTCCTCATTCGCCACTGGGTCAGCAACTCCAGAGAGCTGCTGCAGCACATTCCAGCAGAGCGCCGAGCAGTTGACGCACCGACATTCAACAGCGGCACGGAGCTGCCCATGGAGCGAGCGCTTGGTCTGAAGTGGGACCCAGAGACTGATCAATTTAACTTCCGCCTCAGTCAACGCCTCGTTGACCAAGAAGCTAAGTCACCCCGGCCAACAAAGCGACAGGCACTCCGCATGATCATGTCAGTGTTCGACCCGATGGGGTTTCTATCCTGTCATACCCTAGCAGCACGAGTCCTTCTGCAAGATGTTTGGCGCACTGGAGTTGGGTGGGACCAACCCCTACCAGACAGTCTGCTGGAAAAGTGGCGTCAGTGGTGGGGAGGTCTCCGCGAGCTAAGTCACATCGTTGTACCCCGCTGCTACTGCCTGAGAATGTCAACGAGGAAGTCATGTCAGCTTCATGTCTTTGGCGACGCCAGCGAGGACGGCTTTGCAGCCGTCGCATACTTTCGAACAACTCTTGAAGACAGGACCTCTCAAGTCTCTTTCGTCCTGGGCAAGAGTCGTGTCGCCCCGTTACGGCCGATTTCCATCCCAAGGCTCGAGCTACAGGCGGCACTCATGGCTGCAAGAATAGCACGGACGGTTCTGGAAGGGCACGACCTACTCATCGACAGCACAACGCTATGGACAGATTCAATAACAGTCCTTCGGTGGATTCAGGCAGATGCCAGCAAGCCGTTCGTCGCCCACAGAGTCGGTGAGATCGATGAACTATCTGCAGTGTCACAGTGGAGGTGGATGCCAACAACCCTCAATCCAGCTGATGCCGCAACGAGAGTACTGCCAGATGTCCAAGGCAGACAACTTCATTGGCTTCAGGGTCCGAAGTTCTTGCAAGCTCCAGAGGCTGATTGGCCAGAGGAGACCACACATGCGAAGGCTACTGACGTCGATGCTGATGAAGGCAGAGTTTGCCGGAATGCACACCGTGCCAGAGCCGTTGGTCTTACCAGACGCCAACAGTTATTCATCGTGGATGAAGCTGGTGAGAGTCACGGCATGGATGGCTCGATACGTCAAGAACCTGCGGGCCAAGGCAGCCGGAAAGCCAGCCACTGTTGGGGAGCTCCTTCCGACAGAGTTCCAAAGGGCTCAAGAGCTGTGGTGGCTCAGGACTCAAAGAGACAGCTTTGCAGGTGACGTTGCAGAACTGAAGAAAAATGGGTCTGTGACGAAAGCGAGTCGTCTGTACACTCTGTCCCCAACCATCGATGGAGTTGGTGTGATCCGCATGAGTGGACGGGTCAGGACCGCACCGAGTGGGAGCGCCATTGATCTGGATCCGGTTATCCTGCCACCAGATCACGCGTACACTCGACTCATGCTCCAACACCTCCACGATATCTGTGGTCACCAAGGACAGGCTCAGGTAGCCAGCGAGATCCGCCGACAGTACTGGATACCGGGACTACGTACTGCGGTGCGGCGCACATGGTCCGTTTGCCAACGCTGTAAGAATGATCGCTCCAAGCCGATACCTCCGCAGATGGGCAACTTGCCCGAGGGGAGAACAGCTGCTTTCGTCCGCCCGTTTACGCACTGTGGTTTGGATTACTTCGGGCCTCTGCAAGTGACAGTTGGCAGGAGACGTGAGAAGCGGTATGGTGCTATCTTTACATGTCTCACCACGCGAGCAGTTCATCTTGAGATCGCTCATAACCTAACGACCGACAGCGCTATCATGGCGATCCGAAGAATGGCCAGTCGACGAGGCTACCCGGGAGTCCTGTACTCTGACAATGGCACCAATTTCCATGGCGCCGAGAGAGAGATGCATGAGGCCTTGCAAGACCTTGACCGGGAGAAGATTACGGGATTCCTGACGCCGAAGGGAGTGGAGTGGCGTTTCAACCCGCCAGCAAGTCCGCACATGGGTGGAGCCTGGGAGCGACTCGTTTGCTCTGTGAAAACCGCCCTGAGTGCAGTGTTACACGAGAGGTCTCCTAAAGAGGAAGTCTTAACGACCCTGTTCGCTGAAGTCGAAGCAACCCTGAACAGCCGCCCGTTAACTCATGTATCATGCGACCCAAAGTACGAGGACAGCCTGACCCCGAACCATTTTCTGCTTGGGACACCAGCTCAGACGCACCCACCAGGACTCTTCACGGAAGATGACCTCTGTCTCAGGAAGCAGTGGCGCATAGCACAGACCCTCGCAGCCCACTTTTGGCGACGCTGGCTAAAAGAATACCTGCCCTGCCTCCAAAGGAGGACGAAATGGCATGGTGCCGATCCAAGACCTGTGAAGCCTGACGACATTGTTGTGATCGCCGATGGAAGCCTGCCGAGAGGCACTTGGCCGAAGGGACGTGTTACTGCTGTCTATCCCGGCCCAGACGGACGAGTGCGAGTAGCAGATGTGCAGACGCAGACCGGCACCCTCCGACGACCTGTCAGTAAGATCTGCGTCCTGGATGTCCGACGATAGGGTGACCGATGGATCGTCACCGGGGGGAGGATGTTGGCAAAACTACTGCTGTTCAACCACCTGACACCTCTTTCTACTGTGTGATTATGTTATCATTCATGGCCGTTAGTAGTGATTCCCGTTGTATCCATGCTGCTGGTTGCACTTGTGATCATCATAACTGTATTGCATGAATGCATGATCCTTCTCGTGTTTCATTGCGGTGCCACTATGGATCTATGGCCCGATGCTTAGGTTATATAGTGCATTGTAGACTCACTTTTCTTTGTGTAGTTTCAGTCCACACCGCAGACTGCGTGATCTGCCTGTAGCTGTGCGCAGAATCCTGACGCTGCGTGCGTGGTATTTGTTTCTTTCGCTTCCGGTACATTCTTACTGTACGGTGTGGATCTACCCTTGTGCATATATTAGCCTGTAGCCCTCTTTAGTTGCGGGGCTTTTTTCCTTTGTTCCTTGCTGGCAGAGTGTGCAATTATTTAGTTGTGTGAAAAGAGAATCTTCCAATACTCAATTTCAGAACTCGTGGATGTTCTAAACTTGTGGGGTACAGTTGAGCCCTGGGCTCGACTTGTACAAGAAACAGATGCCGAGATAAGAAACCTCTTTGAATAAATCACGCGGTAGCGGCCTAGCTAGCGCTCTTGTACAGAAAATTCATCCGAAAAATATTTTCGGCAAAGTGAACTTTTTCCAAACAAACATACCGAATCTTCTCGTGCATTTTCGACCTCGCTCCCGCGTGCCGAATCTTTTTGCCGAATTTCGGAATGCAAAACCTCGCTATTTACTCCTTCTCTTACCAGCTTGCTGGCTAGTCAGTTCAACGACAATCGACCTCAGTTCTGATTGTTTACAACAATCAGCTTTTGTGTGATTTCAGTGGTGAACTTTTGACCGGCTCCTCGGCCACACTGGGTGCGTTCAATTACAGCCATTAAGTGATTCATGAATGGAATCTTGTCGTTGGATTTCATGTCATGTAGCCCTGGAATCAGTTTGGAATCCATTTACCCTAACATGGGGTGATGTGAATAGCCAGGGACGTTTCATGAATGGATTCAACATCGTTTCGCGGTCATAATCGAACGCACTCACTCTTTCCGCTTGCGTTACCAGTTGAGTCCTGACACTGGAGCGGCACATGATACTTGCTCATGGTAGATCTACTTTGAAGTACAACTTGAGTTGTTTGTGCACAAAATTTACCTTGAGATTTAGAGAAGGGAAGGCTGGGCAGAGTTGCGCAAACAGCTTCTTTGTCAGCGGTCTAACTGCCGTGAGGTATGCGGCATGAAGAGTGACGTCCTTTTGATTGGGGTCTTCATGTCTTTTTGTCCGATGCGCACAGCAACTGGTGTTGTTGGCGGTGATTTGATTTTCAGCACACGGACGGCTCTATCCTTAACTCGTTCTTTCTTGCCAGGCATATTTGCAATCTCTCTGCGCCAAGGAACGAACCACAATGATTGTTAAGAAGGCTCTGTTCCTCATTTCTCACTTCGGTGTCGTGCACCTGTGGGTGTGTTCTGGTGACATCCTGTCAAGACAGGGCTATACTTCTTAAATTTTTCCAAAGGACTCCACGCGTATCGGATGTTCTAAGCCTATCAGAGTAATGGACGTCACCATGGCTACCCTATCGGGGGGGGGGGGATAGATCACCGGCATGTGTGTCTAATGCCTATAGAAAGATCATAAACAGAACACTAAAACGCTCTCCGAGTTAAAAAAAAACCCTATGTAGAAGTTTTGCTTATCAACGGAGAAAGTAAGTTAAAAAATCATAGTACTGGTAGTGTTCTCAGACTGTTCTGTGCACGGAGCAATGACAGAGGGATAAGTTCACGTTCAAAAATAACGCCCCGCTTCCAGCTATTACAAACAAGAACCCCGGGTTTATCTATTTTTCATTTTTCTTTTAATCTTTTCCTTTTTCCTTACATTTGTGTTCCTTTAGTCGATCTCATGTAATAAGGCAACACTGCCTGTTTGTTATTCGACATTAAAAACCAATCCAATCCAATCTCCTACCAGCGGATGTATTAGAATTCTTTGAATACAGGTCATCCCTCGTTAATACATAATCTCTGGGACTTGACAAATGTTATGTATTAACGGGGTTTATGTACTAAACGACAGTGTACATAACTTGCTTGTATACCAGAATTTTTCACTTTTTTCAACTTTTCTGAGTGTTTCTTGCTGCCATGACTAGGGAGCGAGATATTCTTGATTCCCTCGATATAACATAACAAATTATGTTATAACAGTCACAGTCAGCGAAGATTCTACAGTTTACATGATACATGCCCAGCGGCGCCTGTACAGTCACTCGAAAAAACAACAGAGCTTTGTCGGTTTGTGATGTGCGCTCTGATTTCTGAGCTAATTGCGTCCACAAGTAGAAACTAGAACACGATGTGCCTCCACTGGAAGGCCAAAAGAACAACAAATTATGTACTATTGAGGTAGGTGGCATGCGGGTACGGAGAAATGTTATGTACTAACGGGGTTTATGTACTAACGAATTATGTACTAACCGACAAAATTTGTATGGAAGTGACCACGTTTCGTCCGGGACTTGAGATTTCTTATGTACTAACAGGGTTTATGTACTAACCGGACTCGTATTAACGGGGGACGACCTGTAGTAACAAATTTATGTTCTGCTGATTTTCCACAGTGGTGTTGATGACCATCTTGACCTTGTGAGATCTTTTGGAGGTCATTGAATGATGGCTGGTAGCCTTGGGCTTAGTATTTCCAGGGAAATGTTCAAATTTATGACTGCCGCCAAAGTACCTTGCAATCTTCGCTCTCCAACAACTACTGTGCTAAGTCCGAGTTGAACATTTTGTCTGGAAAATGGTATTCTCTGGAATGCTGCACTATAGCTGCGGCATAGCAATGAGAAAAACTGACTCCGACTACAGCACTGTTCCCGATTTCGAAGGAAACTGCCTAAGAAAAGCAACGCGTCATCACCAGCTATGATGCAAAAACAACCAAGCAATAGTCTGGTGACCCGCGACTGTGCTTCATGCCGTCGACACCTTCATTTCTTGTACATCTACACAATGGTTATCTAGGTCTGGTTGTAATCTCCCGACTGTCCATCAAACTGAACCCACAACATTGTGTATTCCCAGTTTGAGCTCTGAATACGATCGATGTGAGTATATGTGTAGGACTCAGTATAGAGTCCATGCACTATATGATGTCCAGCACCCTATATAGAGTCCATTGGTCCAAAATCCACTATACAGAGTCCAGGAGTCCACTCAGTTTTGATCAGCTTCATCCTGCCGCGCAATCCCCTATAAGGAGTACACTTTTTCTACAAGTCCCCTACTCACGGTCCAGGAGTCCAGTTTATCCAGTCACGCCGTCCTGTGTGTTGTGCCCCGAAAGAGAACACATTTTCAGTTTTGCTTGCCTCGTGGCAGCGCATTCCTTTCTTCACTTCAGCCATGGCTGCCAATTCTGCTGTGCAGTTGCTGACAGTAATCTGTCTCGAGCTAACCAAGGAGGATAAGGAGACGTTCAAAATCAAATCTGGAAAGCGTCTTGTGGTTCTCTGAAGACGTTTCATCAGTGCGCGGGATGAAAGCAGAAATTGCAGAACGAGAAAAGTTCAGCACAGTTCAAATCTGACGAGTCAGGTACACTGACGCTCTCTTACGTTCGACGCCACAAGGATCCCCTGTTTGGCTGGCCATTGCTGCCAGTAAGACGTTTGAACGGTTTCATCAGAGCGAGGGATGAAAGCAGAAAGCGGAGAAAGAGAAAAGTTCAGCACAGTTGCAATCTGACGAGTCAGATACACTGACACTCTCTTTCGTTCGACGCCACAAGGATACCCTGTTTGACTGGACAAGAGCTGCCTGTACCACCGTGTCAAAAGGCTGTCCAACTACATGGCAGGACGATGACTGAGGTAAGGAAGCTTTTACTTGTTTCAATTGGTCTGCTGTTCTGTCGTTATGCTTGAATTTTTTTCCATTTTCAAGGAGCGTATCGCGTTTGTTTGATGTTGCTTGAATGAATGCCCTAAAAGTAATCAACCACTTCGTAATAGTCCTCAAGGACTGCAAGGACTTTGCATCAATCGTATATGATCGTCTAGCTATCATCAATTTTTATTTCATGAGAAATGTATTTTTATCCCTGTGAACTCCACGACACTCTTCCTGTAGTATGATGTCAAATACAATGGGATCCACAAACGCAGTGCCAGTGTACTAGTAGTAGTAGGACTAGGAGGATTGCTTGTATGCCAATGACAAGAAAAAGCTTCTCAAGCTAATACTCGTATTCCCTGAAGTACTGTTTTGATGTCACGAACATGACATTGTGTCAGTGAAACTGCCTGGTGACAACAAATCATTGCATTTCCATCTTGGGGAAGACTGACTTACAGCAACGCTGTACAGATTGTTCAAATCATCTCATTTCAATTTAGTTGCAGTGAAGTGAAACACTGTGTACACTACATGTATGTTGGTGTGTCTGTGCGTCTTGAGTGTGCACAAACGATCTTATTCCTCGTATTACTAATAGATTATTATCCCCACCATCACCTGTTCACAGGTCTTTGAGTGGATTGATTTTCATTGAGCATCACATTCGTTGAGAACTTGGTAGTTGTGTGCTCCCATGCATCATTACGGTAATAAGCGTATCCTTGTGCTATCTATTTGTTGCAGGTGTGCTGATCTTCAGAAGCTTGCGGAACTGAGTGCTGCTGAACATTTGCATGGCCATGAGCAATGGTGAAGCTTGCTATTGCACTCTCAGCATGTGCTAGTATTATGCTGACCACTGCACTATGTTACTCTCTTACACTACTACGTGTATGTAAACGTGCGTGTACCCGTCCCCGTACGCATTCGTTTCGTATAATTATTTGTTATCCCTCTTGACTTTACATGTAAATGGGTGGACGTTTGCATGGCTGTTGGAGTTGCGTGTGTATTGTGTCTCTACTCTTTTCTTGGTGT